CTGCCATCTCGTCAGGGCCGATGAGACCTGGCACCTCGGCATCGACCTCGGAGATCACAACCTCGCACTGCGTACCATTGATGCCAACTGTGTAGCACCACGCACGCTCTGACATGAGCGGCACGCCTGGGCCGGACTTGAAGTACTGGCGCTGGTTGATGCTGTGGCACGGCACGCCCATGGCATCCAAAGTCTTCTGCAGCTCGACGTGCCACGGACGTCCACCGACAGCCCGCTTGCAGCCCGTGTCAATCATAACCAGCCCCGCGGGCAAGACAACAAGCATGACGGACTGCTCATCTATCACCTCGCGGGGGCACTCCTCTCGGGCAGTGACCGCGCGGGTCGCAGATCCCCCTTTTGCTGCCCAAGGGTCCGCCCCCTTTGCTGCCCAGGGGTCCGCGCCCTTTGCCGCCCCAGGGTCCGCGCCCTTTGCTGCCCCAGGGTCCACGCGCTGCAGTGAGTCCTCCTCGTCCGCCTTGGGCTTCTCCAGCGTGTAATGGATCACCGACTTCAACGAACACTTCTTGCACTTCGCGAAGATCACGGTGCCGTTTGACTGCCACTTCATCTCGTCCGCCGGATGAGAACGCGCAGCCTGCTGCTGCATCAGCTCTGGGTCGAACTTCGCCTTCGGACCTGGGACCAGCCTCTCGCCGTCGAACTGCGAATCGTACATGGCTCGGTGCATCTGCTGCTTCTCCAGGTCGCTCTGCGCGGCACCGGCACTCATGACGTAGCTCCGTCCAGAGGCAGTGACTACGCGCGGGGCTCCAGATGCGGCTGGAGATGCCGTCGCAGCGGCAGGCGCACCTGAGCTCGTGGCTCCTGGAGGCGCTGGAAGATGAACACGTCGTCGAACTCCCTCCATGTTCTTCCACGCGCTTCCGACCCCCTGCTGCTCAGGAGATGTAGGCAGTGCACGCTCTGGCGAAGGTGCCTGCTCACGTCGCCTCTGCAGGCCGTCGTAGACCTCGCCTGGGTTCAACCGGGTATGCATCTCCGACTCCTGCTTCTCTATCAGCGCGAGGCGGTCCAGCAACTCGGCTTTGTCACGCTGCAAGACCTCCAGTCGTTTCTTCTCCTCACTCTTCCTCGCGTCCTCGGAGGCTCCTGCCACGGCCCAGTCCTCGTCCTTCGGGGCGGCGGCGGCTTCCCCAGTCGGTGCGGCGGGCGGTAGTCCTGGCGCAGCTCCGTCTGGGATGTTCCCGGGAGGTTCTCCCGGAACATTTGATCCTTTCGTCTTCGATGCCCCTTTCGCCGACGGCGCCGCTGCGGCGTCCACCACGAATGCTGGATGGGCCTTCGCAGGGCCACTACTTGGAGAGAAATCCGGCTTCTCGCAGCGGCGCGCGTAGAGGTTGAGGCGCACGATGCGGTCGTTCTTCGCGATGGAGTGGCTGGTTGCCGGCGGCGCCAGGTAATCCCTAAAGATGTCCTGGCGAAAATACCGGCTGCAGAAGATCTCGCCCATCTCCTCCGGCGTGAACGGCAGCTCCTTATCCTCGCGCCGCTGATCGTTATCGTCCTCGCTGGCCTCATCCTCCTCGCTGGCCTCGCCCCCCTTCTTCACCTCGGCCTCCTTCTTCACTTTCCTGCTGCTTCTCGCCTTCTTCCTCTCTTTCTTCTCTTATTTGCTGCTCCTCGCCTTCTTCTTCTCGTTCTTTTCTTCCTTCTCACCGCGGCCTTCCGGTGCGCTCCGCGACCTCGAACGCGACGGGGCCCCCACCTCGGGCGGAGGAGGGGCGCGATGCTCACGGAGAACAGCTCCCCGACCGCGGTGGCGGTCGTCACGACGATCTCGACGATGATCCTCGCGATGCTTGGCGTCGCGGCCTCCGCCTTCACCGCGCCGATCGTCGCGGTGCTTGGTATCGCGATTTCCGCCCATCACGATCTTAAACGTAGTCGCCGTGATCTCATCGAGATCCACCTCAGCCGCCGTGCAAGTATTCGACGTGGTCAGCTGCAGCCGCATAAGCCGACCCTGGACGAAGTCGATGGCCTCGAAGCGGCCTTGCTTGAAGAAGATGGGCTTCTTGTTCGTTACACGCTCCACGATGTGATGGACCGTCGCAAGGTCAGGAAACTCCAACTCCACGCTGTGCCCCTTTGCGTGCGTGTTGGCCAGGATGCGATGGCAACGCACGCATGCATCCTCGTCCTCCTGATCGTCACCGCGCCTTGCAAGGGCGCGCGCACGTTCATCACTGCCCTGTTCTGTGTCATCGTCGGTCTTCTGGTATAAACGTGGCGCAGGCATACTCTTGGGTCGAGGGTTCACGACGGTCCCCCCTGGAACATCGGCTCGGACCTCTACCGAATGCCTCTGGGCAGGCACCGACTGGGGAGCGCGGCGCCATGGGGCGCGGCCACGACGCTCTTCGGCACTGCCTGCCATGCCAACCCAGTGGATGACCGGCCCATGCACCTGCCTTCGAACCGGCGGCTTCGCAGAGCTCCGCCGGTTGGGCGACGCTGGCTGGCCACTCCTCGGGCCCGGTCTTGTTGTACGGCTCGCGCTCGCCACTCTTCACCTTGGGGCACTCCGGGTTGCCACGCCAGTGGCCGGACTGATCACAGTCAGCACACCGGCTGTTGGCTTTCCGCTGGCCAGTCGTCCTGCGACCCGCCTGGAAAGAGCCGCTGGCGTTGATCTTCTTGGGGTCCCGCTGCCGAGGGGCAACGAATCCGCGCTTCTGACGCTGCGCTGCCGTCTTCTGCTTGGCCCTCCAACCGGCCAAGAACGCCTCCTGAAGATCCTCCGGTGCCTCGTACTCCTCGTCGTCAGGCCCGTCGTTGTCCGACGCCAGCTCCTCGTCGACCTCGGCGCCGTCCTCGAAGAGGATGCCCTCGCCCCCTCCGGGGTCTCCGTCGTCCTGGTCGTCTGCTTCCTCCTCGTCGTGCTGCGCCTCCTCCAGGTCGCCGTCGTGTTCATCGTAGTCTTCACCGTTCTCCACCTCGTGCACGTGCTGGCCAGGGCGGCCTCGAGGTACGAATGGCCTGCGAGCCAGAGGAGGATGCGGGAAGCGACCGCCCGAGCTCCCGGAGGAGCGCCCGTGCTCACGCTGCGCCGCCGCAAACGGCGAGCGGCGAGGGAGCACCGAGCGCTTCTCGGTGTCGTGCACCTTCGAGTAGGCTGCCTTCAGCACGACCTCCATGCGCTTCGAGTCGTAGATGCCGCCGCAGTTGAAGAGCACCTGCGCTCGCTCTCTTTGCGACAGCCCAGCGCCACGGAGCATCTTGCTCGCCAACGCGCGATCACTGATCGCTGAAGTGGGATCCTCGAGCTGCAACTCCATGCGCTTCTTCCGCAAGTACGTCGTCCAGTCCATGATGGGCTGGCCTGCCCGACGGTGAGCACGCTCCCACTCCTGATGCACCTGATCCAGGCGCTCGTGATCCATCTTCTCGAAGGCGATATCGTAGATAGCAAAGATGGTCTCGAGCGTGTCCTCGCGTCGGAGGTCCGACGCGTCAAGTACCTCGATGAGCTCCTTGGCCCGACCTGTCACCTGACTGTAGATGATCAGGCCCAGCTCCACGTCGGAGAGCTGGTTGAGGTTGCGGATGACCTCCACAGCCTTGCGCCAATCTCGGTACTTCTTGGTGCTAGTGCCGACGGCACCGTCGAAGTCCGGGAGCTTCACCTGTGACAGCAGTAGGCGTGCACGCCTGGGACCGCTGTCGCCACCACGATCCCGCTGCATGGCCAGGATCTCCCTCTGGGTCTCGGCCATCACGCGCAGGACCGCGTGCAGGTCCGGAGAACCTGCGCCGGCGGAGGACACCGCTTCCGCGTCCGAGCCGCCGTCCTGGCTGCCGGCCATGGCGGCTCGCGCGGGTGGTCGCAGCCACCCGAGCAGAGCACGCAGTGCGTCCGCTGGAGCTTACAAGCTCCGCTACCAATGTCAGTGCAGTTCTTTTTGCTCGGACCGCGCGGCGGTCAAACTGCGGGTGCAGTCCCAGGGCCCTAGGACTAGGGCCAAAACGGCGGCGGGCAACATGCACGCCACAAAACATGAAAGGTATGTGCATCATGCTCACAAGGCGGCACGGGCGGCAGAGGGGCAGGGGAGTGCACTCTTCACACTTGGCTCTCGAGCGCAAGGTCAGCAGAGGGCGTACGCACGAATACCCTACGGTCTCCCATAACGCATGACAAGAACCACGCAAGACTCTCAAGTTTCACGCCCTTTCGTGAGCACGCCTGTGTCTGTGCATTTCCCGATGCACCGCTGCCATGGAGGAGGGCGGGGGTCTGCTCAACTACCCCCCCCTTCAAAAGTAATGCAACCCCTACTGCCCCCAAGCCCCCCTGCACGCATACCGTCCAAGACCACCTTCTCTTCCTCGTCCTCCTTCTCCCCGTCCGCTTCGAGAGGCACATTACCCTTGCACTTAGTACCCCAACCACTCAGCCACCCAGCCTACCTTTAGGTCGGGCCTTTCCCCCTACAGGCCAATTTTGGACGGAAAATGACAAATACACCAAACATACACCGACAAATATTCCCAAACAGTCAAAGCATCGTCCCCAGACTACTTTTGGACTATTTTGGAATTTTCCTCCTGGAGAGGGACAGCTGGCCAATGCCCAGGCTGATCGGGGGAGCCGGGTGTCCCTGACAGACTTGATGAGCAGTGGGCAGACCAACTGGTCAAGGGATGCGTTTGGGCCTCACCAGCCGACTGGTCAGTGGTCAAGACCGTTCGGGTGAGACTTGTCGGCCTGGCCAACCTGGGTCGCGCCCCCCCTCGTCCTCCCCATCGTTCTCCTCCTCCTGATCGTCCGCATTCTCCACCGCGACTGCGAGGGTACCAATGCTGCACGCAGCACCGTGCCAATCGACATGCATCCAATCATCGATATATGCGAGTGCTATACACGCGGCATGGTCAACAAAAGGCGAAACGTATGTGTACTGCCAGTGGCAGAAAAGCGGCAAAGACGGTCAATAAGAGATCTGAAAGCAAACAAGCGACAACGGAGGCGTTGCATCCCGATCAAGGTGATACACGTGCGTGGAAAAGACGATACGCCCATGGGTAAGGTAGTCGAAGGGCTCTTTCTCCTCCAGGCGGCACCACAGCAAACAATGATGCCCAATGCAAGAAGTACACCGCGTGATCGCTGCAAGTGTACCGATTCGCTGGGTCACACATGCCTGTGACCATGTGTTGCTCGAGCTACGGCCACTGGGGCAAGAAATCATGTCTGGCCTGCAGAGGCCAACGTGCCAGCAGAAACGCGCCAACCTCGCGCTCTCAGGCCTGTCGTTGCTCGTCGGCGGCCGTGTGGCCTGCAACACGGCGGTGCCGGCGGTTGGCAGGCGCGGGGGGGGAAGCCACACGAGCAGGCAAAGAAGTGGAACGAGAGACGGCGGCACGGCGAAGGCGGCAGAAGAAAAGACCGACGGTGACGGGGACAGGACAAGAATCGGGAAGGGACCGGCAGCACGGGCGGCAAGGAAACCTCGCGCCCTGCAGGAAGCCGGAGCTCCTTCCACCAAGGCAGCCACGCGGGCCAATCCATGATGAGGATCGGCGTGTCCCAGCGCATGTGCTTCCGTGCCGCCCTGGGCGATCACCGCTAGCAAATGATGAACATGTGCTGCGAGACAAACAGGCAGATGCATGGCAAGAAAGAAAAGGTGATAGCCAGCGTGGGCCCCAAATACATAGCGCTGCCTTGCAATCTATCAGGTGGTGCAATCAATTTCTGTTCGCAGTGGGTCGTCCACTCCACTGCTCGCGCAATCATCCCGCCCACACACCCACCCGCAACTTGGTTTGCAAAATCCATGCGGCGGCGATTGCGAGGAGTGCTTGGAGTTGGTTGGTGCAGTTCGTTGGCCGTGCTAGCCCGCGCACGCTCGCGCCCGCGGCGGCCAGCTAAAATGGCGCGGCCGACGCGGCCGCGGTGGCGCTGACCGCTGGGCACTTCGAATCGGGCACTTCAGTGCGAGTCGGCGCCTTGGGCGGGCGCGGTATCATGGCAACGTCGACAACGGCAGACGCGATGATGACGGTAGCGATGTTGGTGACGATGAAGACAACGACGACGGCAAGGCCTAGGACGGCGCCGATGCTGATCACGCCGGCGACGATGACGGCGTCCACGCGTCGGTGATGAAGGTTTTGGAAGGAGTCCGAAATGCACGCGCGGCCGACGCGCGAGAGTGGCCCGCATGGTATCATTTGACACGGATCGTTCCCCCCCCCAGCACGCGCGCAAGGGCGTTCGAAGGATTTCGACGTGCGGCGAGAGGGGCCCGTTTTGACCGATGTGTTTAGCAAACATAATGAACACCTATGTTTTTGTCTTGAATCCGCAGGAGCGGGAGCGCAGGCATGTTTGAACATTGATGTTGCAAAACCATATACAGTCGGGATTGATGTGATAGGACACGCGATAGGACGCAAGACTCTTCCGAGGGCCACATTGCCACAGGAATGTAGGAGGCACGGGTCGCGACACACAGGGCACAAGGGTACCCTTGATTGGCAGGGTCGACCTACTAATCGACCTCGACTGTATCTTCTATGTTTTCGGGGCACTCGGTTTTGAAATCCCTGCAGAACCCAGAGTTTCGTAAGGGTTTCGGCATGCGCGCGCGCGACGGCGCGCGCGCGCGCGTGCACGTCGTGCCTTTCTTGCCAACGTTTTTTTGAAACTGACGGTTTTTGGTAAACGAATGTGCGCGCATAGTATCTGATGCAGAGGAAGAGGAGGGGCGGATACCAGCCTGCCTGGGATGGTACACGCTCATATTTAGGATGGGCGATGGGGCATAATCATATGCAAGTTACGATACGGAAAAAGGGGCCATGCAAAGCAATGCAAAGCACGACCCAGCGGCGACGGCGGCAACGGGTGGCGACTGGCGGCACCGTGGCCCAGCGACGGCGGCGGCGACGGGCGGCGAGGGCGGCCACGGGAAGCAGTGGGGCCAAGCGGCGACGGCGGCAACGGGAGTCGGGAGGCGATGATGGCAACGGGCGGTGACTAGCGGCAGTGTGGCCCAGCGGCGACGGGCCGCGACGGGCGGCGACGGGCGGCACTGTGGCCCAGCGGCGACGGCGGCGGCGGGCGGCGACAAGCGGCAACGAGCTGGCTGGACCGGCACCAGAGCTCAGCTACCTTAGAAAGAAGTCAGGAACCCTAAGTGCAAGCACTGTTTGGAAACAGTCAGAACCACGGAGATTGTGATAAACAAGGAGTGCGGCACCCGAGAAAACTGCAGCCCTGGGTCGAAACAATCAAAATTCTTGATTCTCTCGAGCTGGATATGAAGTAATGATTCCTGGGGCCCTGGAGAAATACGTAAGCGGATTTCTTGGATCGGCGCTGGAGCCCCCCTCCCTGGCGCGCGAAGCGCGCCAGGGGCGGCGCCAGAGGCGCCGCCAGGGGGATCCCAGCGCCGATACAAGAAATTCGTGCAGACCTCCAGAAGTTTGTGGTGAATGCCATTCATTCGTCTCCGATTGGCTTTATCCAGCAAGCGTGAAGGAACGAGACACGCCCATGGAGGCACGATCTGCGGGTCACCACGAAGATCCGAACACATACATATATACACATACATACATACATACATACATACATACATACATGCATGCATGCATGCATACGCACGTGCGTGCGTGCGTGCGTGCGTGCGTGCGTGCGTACATACATACATACATACATACATACATACATACGTACGTACGTACGTACGTACGTACATACATACATACATACAGACACACATACACACATACACACATACATACATACATACATACATACCTATATATATATATATATATATATATTCATTCATTCATACATTCATACATACATGCGTACACACATGCATACAAACATACATGTTTACATACACACACATACATACATACATACATACATACATACATACATACATACATACATACATGCACATATATATATATATATATATATATATATATATATATATATATATGTATATGCACATGCAGTCATACAGTCATACATGCATGTGTACGTGCATACATACATATATACATGCATGTATGCATGCATGCATGCATACATACATATGAATGTGTGTGTGGACAGAGATCGGAACCACGAGCAAATCACTCGCAGAACCGACTTGCTCGAAGCCGACTGCAGCCGACTGTGGCAGCCTGGTCACCCTGTGCGCAGACTTGCGCCCTGCTCGGAGATGGCCCCAGAGGCGATTATAAGAGGTCCCGAGAGAGGCTCATGCGGGGCCCAGAACGCCTGGAGATGAGCCCAAAAGGGCCCCCTTGCGGGTCCCCAGGGCCAGCACAGAAGACACCATGTAGGCTGACGATTCATGAAGGAATGTTGGGGGGACGATTGATGACATCGTCTTCGAAGCTTCGGGTTCCGCTTCGATGTGGCTCCGCCTGGCCCGTCGACCGTCCAGGCGCGCGCCCGAGGAGGGCGGGGGGGGGGGGGCACGACCGAGCAATAAAATTCCCGGCCCAGGGCCAATGCTTCGAATCATCTTCCCAGGCGCCAGCGCGTGAACACGCCCCCCGGGTAATTCTTGACCGTCATGTTGCGCGACGGTAAGAAATCTCGGAACAAGTGGCACGCGTGCCCTGGCTCTTGCGCCTCCTTCCTCCAGGAGTTTCCTTCCGTGGCCGGGGGGGGGAGGAAGAACGACGAACGAACGAACGACGCCGAAAATAAAGAGGTCCGAGCTCTAGAACACAGCTATGCAAAAGAGATCAACAAGTATTCGGGCACGCTCTTCGTCGACATGAGGGTCCCGAGGTGCCCAAGAGCTTCTGCGGGTCCCTAGAGCCTTCGGGGCATGAGAAACTTCCAGGGTGCACCTGCCGGCGGGCCGATGTTCATTTCTGACGTGGCTGCTGTAGCTACCGGCCCACAGCCAGGAGGAGCAGGAGAAGAGGGAGGAGGAGGAGGAGGAGGAGGAGAAGGAGGAGGAGGAGGAGAAGGAGGAGACGGAGGAGGAGGAGGAGAAGGGTGGGAGGGGGAGGGGGAGGAGGAGGAGAAGGAGGAGGAGGAGGAGGAGGAGGAGGAGGAGGAGGACGAGGAGGAGGAGAAAGAGGACGAGGATTTTTTTGAGCACTGTGGCTCTCGCTGCATGCTGAAAGCACACTGAAAGTGTCAGAGAGTAAGGTGACCCCTTTCGCTTTGGGATGGAGTCCCTTACAGATCTTGTTCCAGGCGTCAGAGTTGTAAACCGAAACCTTCTGACCTGGACAAATCTTATTGAGTGATGCAAGACGGGCTCCACTAGTGCATCTCTGGCAAAGCGTACAAACGACAACAAACGAACCGTTCGAACAATCCAGTAGGATACACTTGTGGTTTAAATCTCTAAGCCGCCGAACATCCACTCTCATAGAATCAGAACAATGTCCAGGGGCAGGCTCTTTGTCGGCGGCGTTGCGCGACGTCCTGAGGCACCCTTGACAAATCCAAAACCGTTGGTCCCCTCCAGGAGGCCCGAGCCACTCCCACCGATGAGGCGGGGTTGAGGAGCGGGGGGCCTGAGCGGGGGCAGACCACGAGGCACGGGAGAGGTCCGTGCGCGGCCATAGCGGCAGAAGAGCAGCACACAGTCTGACCGCCATGAGCGCCGAATTCACAAGAGTAGTGCATGCGTTTTCTATATCCTCCGGCGGCGCCTGGCGGGACTCAGCTCCCAGCTTGGCGGCCTCATCGGCGAAATCATTTCCTATCCTTCGAAAACGCTCGTCATCGTCGATCTCTGGATCGTCGATGGGAAGATGCGCAGGCACTTTCTCACACCCAAGCGTCCTTTTTCCTCCAAGAGAACGACCCTGAACGACGAGCCCCGCATAAGGACGCTTGGGTGAGATCTGTTGGTGTCGGGCCATGCCGTGCATGGAGACAACATTCTGGCAATCTGAATACAGAATAGCAGGTGCAGACAAGAAAGCGCACGCCATGGCATAAGCCGAAAATTCACCTGCCTGGGGAGTCTGGGGGCAACTGTCCCACACGGGGCCCCAGCTCCAAGCTAGAAGATTTGCACGGGGGCCCATCATCGCTAAACCCCAGCCAGCTCTGTTCGAGCTGCGGACCACCCGTCGAGAACACGAGCCATCAAGGAAGACGTGGCCCCACATCTGGCGGCGACCGTCGCGGGGCATCTCCATGCCTTCGGCCGCGAAGCCTTCAGGAAAAAAAACTGAAACTGGATGCCATCATCCTCCTCGGATCTACTGTCGGACTTAGGGGGCGGGAGCACACTCTGGGGGTGTCCAAACAAATCAGAGGTGAGGTGGAACCGTTCTCTCTCCGAAACCGCTTCGAACTGACTCAAAACCTGCTCCAGAGTACAGCGAGGAATCAGCTCCCTCCGCTCCTCCTCCACCGCCGAACACGCATATAGCCGATGAAAAATCGTGTCACCAGGCTGATGGCAGAGTGGGCAACGATCGTCCACTTCGTAACCTGCAGCTCGTGCACGGGCGTGGGGCCAGATTCCTTGACAGGCACAACAACGGATAGTTCCTTTCTGGCGAGCAGTAAACGTTTTGGACCGAAGGGCTTTGATGACGA